CGGCCTGAACAGCCGGCGGAGATCAGCTCCGCGCCATTGCACAGCCCGCCGTCGGTCACTGATCGAAACTCGTGCACATTCTGCCTAGGCAGCCCAGCGCATCGCCCCACACAGACACACCGAGACCTCTTCGCCTCGTCACGGGACCCGTCCTCCACAGTGGCCAATGATGATGCTCTGGCTCATAAGATGGGGATACGATCGATTTTATACCCTGGTCCAGTCGCTCACGAGCCAGGGGCCCGTAGGGCTGCAGCGGGCGCTAGCGGGATCTAAAAGTCTAAGGTGAATGCAACCAAGGTAATCAGTCCTCCACGAACTACGATCAAGTCTAGCCCATGCCCTGCATAGGAGCGCGATGAGTTCAGATGCCCTGCGGGGACGCTACTGGAAAGGGGGACATTTCCGTGGGACGATGTTTCTTCGGTACTGTGGGTGTGGCTAGTGCGACTCTGAAAGCTCGGACTAAATTTATGGTACCTGAGCAGCAGGCACACGGGCCTGTATCAGTATTTGTCTCTTGACGAGGAGAATTTGCTTTGGGAACGGCTTGTCGAACATCCGGGTTGGAGACTGGAGGAAGTGGCAGCCTTGGGTGGTATCGCTTTGTGGCAGTGATGGTATGGACCGGTCACTGCGACATGGTGAATATCATCTTGATGATTTTGAACCTATAAGATGATACTCAATGTACTAATCGATAGAAATCTACATTCTGCCAGTTTCGCGTCCATCTATCTAGAGGTAGGCGCGCACAGTGTCAGGCGGGTACTTGCGGCAGTGACGGACAGGCCTCTGATGGGCATCGCACGCCCATTCCATATCAGCCATGGTATGACATCGGAACGCCAGCAGTTTTGGAAACCAGCGACGGAGATATTTCTGCTTCTGCAGTCGACGTAGGGGTAAGACTCATTTAGCTATGGCTGATTATATGGGGGCGCGCGTCGGCCCGCGCCGTACCAATGTATGACACACTTCGGAGGCGCGCCACTAGGAACATTCTCGCGGAGAAGGAAGTGGGCCTAAAGGATCAGCTTGGACTTGTGTGCTAAGAATAGCCTCAATTCAGATTCCATGCTAGCTCACTTTCCGATTGCTTCTGCACGCCGTGATTGAGACGGCATTTTCGATGAAATATGTGTGGATCTCAGACTGCTCAGCCCATTTGCATCGACCATCGTCTCGAGGTCTACGGAGTCGCGAAGACGGCGAGAGCGCCGTCCTCCAAGTATTAGTTGGGTCGGCATCACCAAATTGAAAGAAGAAGTTGCTGATTGGAGCCCTGGGCATATGGCCAATGCACTCTGAATTTCCTGTGACTCGATCTTTCTCTCCAAAGTCACGGTTCTGCAGGGTTATTTGATGGTTCTCGCTAGGGAGTAGAGCGCGAAGTGGATCTGTGAAAGCTGTAGCCAGTAACTCGTCTCCAGTTTCTCAGAGCATGACTTTGCCGATCGTGTTGCGTGCTCTCGGTGCTGCCCACTATGCCAGAATGCTTGCGGATTTACAAGGGGTTATCTTTTACCTTTGCTGCTAGGACGTACTCTCTGGATGTGTCTCTAATGAGTTTTTTCGTTATTTAATTGTGTTGCTGCCAAAGATCATAGCCATGTTGTAATATGATGTGAGTAAGTTGTAGTGATACCTTTTGAATAGCTCAGACTGAACTTGAACATGTCTGGAGACTACATCAAGATGAATACATGCAAGGTAGCTGACCTGAAGGCGATGTAGGCTCCAGGTGTTCAGTTTTCCCTAGGGTGACGTGAAGCCCGAAACAAATGCCAGTTATTCTAGATTGCAAAAGGGAGGCCTGGCAAATATGCTCAAATGCTTGGAGTGGGGGCTGGACCATGCCGTGGTTGACTGCACTGACTACCCTAGTTCAATCATATTTGTGAGGCATTAATTCGGGAGGAAACCACGTGCGACCGTTAATTCATGATAGTAGCGACTAACTCTGGGTGACTGCAGGTGGTAAAAGGGAAGTAACGAATGCTAAGCGAGACAGATGCCTTATAAAGACTGACTGCCTATCTCTTTCATTCTTGTTCGCTAACATTTCTAACATCTCTAAGATAATTGCCCATCATGGAGTACGAGTCTTTTTCGGAAAACGGGTACCACGCGTATCTCCCGTTCCCCTTCCCCAGCAAGTCCGACGATGTCCACCCTAGCGCCGCCGGTAAGTTGATCCGTTCCGCTCCGGACTCGGCTTTGCTCGGGATAAGACGCCCGCTGATCTGATAACTCAGGATCTCCATCTGATAACCAGGACCCGTACGCACCCAACGCTCCGCCGCGCAACATGGCCTCGTCGAACAATGCCGCCACACCTGGCTCAGATTGCAGTCCTGCGCCATCGCCTGCTGAGTCCTCGGGAAGCACCTTCTGCACCGCTGCCGAGTTCGAACAAGACCGCCGCAGCTCCATCCGCCGTGAGTAACGTGATTGCTTTTTCCGCGTGTCCCGCGTACCAGCAGTTCGCCGCGGCTGTTGGCTGCCAGACTTGTCCAACCGCGTGATCGACCCTTGCCCACTTCCACAACTGACACCGACCCAGAACTCGTACCAAGGTCCCCTCCACGCCCTCACGTCGCCGCCACGTTGTCCGTCAACACGCACGCCAATGGCCCCTCCCAGTCGGGCGGGGGGCCTACGAGCATGATACATTCCATCCCGCCCCGACCCAAGCCCGGCCGCAAGCCTGCCACCGCGGAGCCCGAGACCAAGCGCAAGGCCCAGAACCGCATCTCACAGCGCAACTTCCGTGAACGCAAGCAGAAGAATGTGCAAATGCTGCTCGAACAGGTCAACCAGACCAGTACGGAATTCAACGATGCCCGCAACACATGGCTACGGGAAAAACAGCTTCTGGAAGACCGAGCACGGGCTCAAGCACAAGAAATCCAGATACTGACAGAGCGTCTACGCACAAGTGACGCCCAAAAAATTATGTGGAGGAATATGTACCAGAAAGTGAGAGCAGGCGAAGACGTTTGCACGCCAAACTACGAGGAGGACTTTGCTCCCATGCATCCCATGCCGAACTTCGTTCAAATCCGTAGCGCACGCCACGACGCACCGTTCGAGAGCACGCAATCAGGATGCGATCGCTGCACGCCTGAACATTGCGCCTGTCTCGCCGACCTCACCAATGATATGCAACTCCCGGACGAGGCCTCGGCTCGCATGGACGGCATGTCCATGACTGGAATACTTCGCGGCGGCCAAGGAGAACTCGACCAAGAGAAGCATCCCCACGTCGAATTCGAAGTCGACTTCACCAACAAGTTCAAGAGCGCATCTACATTCGCACCATCGACGGAGGACAACAAGATTACAGACTGTGGCTTCTGCGAGGGACAAAAGGACATTTGCATATGCGACCCCCCTGCTCGTGTTGACAGCGCCGACGAGGGCATCTCACTCACGCGCATGAAGAGTGGTTCTTCAGCTGAAGAAGCGAAGCCCAACATGGCCATGACCGGACCTGGCTCTTGTGCCGACTGTCAGTCAAACCCCCAGCAGCGAGCCTGGTGTCAGCGAGTCGCTCAGCTCCGGAGCGAGGAAACCCCTTCGAGCTCACGGCGCAACTCAAGCAAGAGCAGCTCGCTCGATATTATGGAACCCAAGGCATCGACCAGCATAGACATGAGCGCCGGCATTTCGTCGCCTGTGGGTACTGGGCGAACAGTCGGTTGTAGCGATGCCTTCAAGCTACTTGATGGTCGAGTTTCGACGGATCCGAATGCCATGGACTGGCGCCAACTAAAGCCTGTTCCGCAGGCTTTCGGACGCCAGGACACTCGCAGGGACACATTCACTATGGAACCTGGCATGTACAGCGCGATGGAGCTGGATGCCAGCAGCATCCTCACTACCCTCCAACACGCCCAGCGTCCTCTCAGGACCCGCCCGTCTGACGGCCCACATGCGCCGCTGATCGAAGAGGCCGAGGAACGGCGCCGAGCTTCTTTCTCGCCCATGACCAAGGCCGAGGATCACGCCATGATGGACGCAGTCTCTCACTACAATATCGACCACTGATAGCGCCCTCCTGTCTTTGCTTTGCCAGATACCCCCACCTTTAGCGGTTCCGCCAGCAATCCGCGGCGTTGATATGCGAGAGTGTCTGTATCCTGTTTCGCATGGTCGTTCATCCGTAACGAGAACACAACTTGAGGGTTTTGACGGTCGCTATGAATAACGACGAGTGGACGGTTACACACTCTTCACTTTCTTGCATTCTGTATCATATCGCATGGCTACTGCAGCCCGGACTTAGACTAATGACTACATGTTTCAACGAACCCAACCACGGGTCAAATGATAATCTTTCAATTCACACATCTGCCTGCATGTGACGACCCTCAGAGTTCCGCTATCCGTAAATGAGTTTTTCAGGATTATACCGAATGTACGTCCGCCCGTGCCCAGCTCCGCAGCTTGGCTCGTCAACTTCCGGGCATGGGCGAAATCACACCACCGCCGAACCCAAGCTTCCGTTCTCCGAAGACAGACCGCCATTTCTGGTGCAGCCAGTCGCGTCGAATGTGTCTACGCGTACAACATTAAGTTTACATGAGCGATATAGGCTGGAGATGGTTCGGAGCTGATCTTGAGTTGTGAGTGGCTGTTGGGGCATCCGGTGTCGCATCTTATCTGATGATCTGATAAAACTCTGCAGCACTAAACCCCAATATGTGAAGAGGGGTAAAACCACCGACATGCGGGGAGAAGTCTTACCCACAATCTGCGTTCGCTTCTATGCAACATCACGATGGTCGCAAAGGAGCCAGAAAATCTTGGTATGAGAATGATGTTACACTGATCTACAACGAGTGTTGTCACTGCTCTCCGCTTCTCCTTCCGCACCACACGGCTCTGTGCGAACCATCGCGCCTGACTGATGTTCATCCCCGCGCCTTCCATATGCACATGCCGTGGCTGCCTTCTCCCCTCCCTTCCTCCGCATTTCTCGCTCAGCACTACCACTATTTCTTCACCCCATTAATAACGATCTCGTTTCCTTGGCCAACCCACTGGCCATGCGGACCAGCTCTCACAGCGACCTGCGCATGTTGTCAGTATCAACTGTACTCTGAGCCTGACAACTCGTTTCTAGCGAATGCATACCTGTACATCGACGCCCCACCGTTGCGCATTGGCAAGAGCAACATTCGCAGCTTCTTGCTCCAGGGTTGTGGCGGCTGTCGCTAGTTTGCCACCGATGGCGCAGAGTTCTCCACCGAGTTTGTTCAGGTCGGCGGCGAGCTTAAGGAGGTTGTCGGGGGTGTTGTGTGACATATTCGGTGACTTGAGTGTGATGGTTTGATGTGGTAGGTTGAGAATGAGGTAGGGTGCGGAGTGAGTGATGCTTAGGCGCTGTGTATATGTCAAGGTTTGTCGCGTAAGAAGTGTGATAGAGTGACGCTAGTTGTCGATGACAATTATGGCAAGAGGATATATGCGTACTTGGCGATATGGAAGGGTGAATGTGTTTGCATAGCTGAACGGCACACTGATCAATACGCAAGCATTCCAGTAAGGAGCGAACGCGCCTCGGCCAGCGACGCTATACTTGAAGTACGTTCAAACATCTTAACATCACACACAAGCATTCCGATCAGTACAGCGGAGTAAGAGAGTTTGTGTAATTAATCATACAGTCTTCACATTGTGTCTAGCCTTTGCCGCCTTCGTGTCGGTGTTAGCGCTCGACTTCGAAGTGGTATATGAGTCTTTGATGCGATACGATAACCCGCTGCCACATCAGCGCAATACATTTGATTCTTTTCCCAAGTATCTCCATTTAACAACACCAATCCGTACACAATGTCCTCGTCAGGGCACCCAGTCGCACCCACCACTGCACAGCGCGATGCAAACTATCACTACAGTCAGCAACTCACAAAGTTGCAAGACGAGATTATGGATCTAAACAAGATCATCGAGAACACTGCTGCAGATCACAGACGTGAGGCACTTCCGCTATATCCCTTACTCTTACTAAAAGACAACAGGCGAAGTCTCGGTACAAGCCCGCGCCATGACCTGTCTCAACATAAAGATACTGTGGCTTACGTACAAACTCGACCCGATCCTCAAGGTGGACGAAGTCACATCGGAGAGGATGGGCAGACTTTTCCCCGAGATTGCGGAGTATTTCACTCTTGATTAAGTGGCGTACTAGGAGAGATGCGTGTATGAGAGCACCAGCATATCAGTGTGGCATGACTAGAATTGTGAGCACATGGGTGCGGGAGACGTAGTTAAGCATCCATATCAATATCATCTTCCTAACCTAGGGTCTTGCTTCAACAGTGCAAGACGCGCAAGTCTCCTCCGCTCTGGCGCACTGATGGGGACCGTTTTCTTGTCCTCCACTGGCTCTGCTTTGTCTAATTTCTCCGATGAAGCTTCATCTTTCTCATCTGCCTTCTTCAGATTAACCTCTACTCTCCTTTGCACATCGCGCATGAACAGTCCTTGATCGGTCTCTTCTTGATCCTGTGCCGTCAAATCTCGCACCTCCTTGTCAAGCCTCATCTTTGTTTCTCTTATGATTTCTGCTTTGCGTTCTTTGAGCGCGGATTCGCGTCTTTGGAGCGCTTCGCGTGTCAGTTGACAGTTTGCGAGTTCGGCTTCAATGATGCAGAATTCGGAGTCTGGTGTGAGGGCTACGTGAGTGGGTGTGTGTGGATTTTGAGGTGGGCTGGTGGGTGAAGAAAGTAGGGGTAGTGGAAAGCTGACTTCATCTCGCGGTTTTGGAGACGTTGGAGAGGCTACGAGAGGGCCGCTGGTGTTCTCTTCGGGTCGTAAGGCCATGCTTCGGTGTCCGGGTAGAGTCTCCAGGATACCGTGTTTCGCTTTTTGTTCGGCGTCAGCCAGGGCTTGTGATACGACGGGATGAAGGAGGGTCGCTATGGGGAAGGTCATGATTTTTACGTCTTGGGGATAGTGGCAGGCGTTGGAGGAGCGAGACGTGTCGACAAACTAAAGCAGCTTCCCGGTGTTTGCTGTGACCGTTGAGGCTGGTCAACGTCAGGGTCTGCGAAATGGAAAGTACAGTGTCACAAGGGAATGGTGTGCAGCGTTTGATAGAGTTCATACTTTAGACATTGTTGCTGGAACGTGATGTCGCGCTTCCATGTGAACCATCCACCGAGAACACACAATACAGCATCAAGCCTTCGACTCTTCTCGCATCCTCGTCAACGTGTCCAACACTGTTTGCTTCTCAGAGCCGGCCTTGAGCGACTTTATCAAAACATCCTGCTCGCTCTCGGGTGCCATGCCAGCCGTCTCAGGTACCCTTCTATCAAGATTGGTCGGGAAAGGGTATCCTTCAGCGACAACGCTGACGAGAGCTCTGAGCTCATCGCTTAGTCCATGCTGTTGGTACATTACCAACAATCCCTCCCAGGTCTTCTCAACAAGTGCATACGTATCGATAGATTCCATCGGCTTACCAAACGCTGATGAGATCTGGAGCAGATTGGCAGAACGCATGACATCCGCGGAGTCATTCTGACCTGCGGCATGGAACAGCGCTGGATTGAAGAAGAGACCGTCACCCATCTCCAGTGGCACAGATACATACTTCTCAAGGAAGTAGTCCTGGAACTCAGGGAGGCGGTATGCCATGTATCCTTCGTCAAACTTCTGGCTGAACGGCAGCAATCGCGTCGGTCCACTCTCCACTGGCATGTCTGAGTGTGCGACAGCTCCTTGTAGCGTGAGAAACTGTGACGCGACTTGCATCGCCTTCGGAAACTTCGCACAAGATTCGTTGTCCTGGAAGCCAATGTGGTAGTCTCTGTGCGAAATCTGGGCCTTCGCGCCTGGCTTCACAATGTTGACTTGTGCTGTGAGGCGGTGGTGTGGGCCGAGCCAGGCTTCAGATATCAGAGGTAGCCATGGGTTTGTGTAGTACTGCGCGAATGACTCTGGGTCTTTTTCGCAGTGTTTCGAAATGGAGTTCCAAATGCGATCGTTCGCGCCGGCTCCAGCAAAGTGGTCGCCGCGTTTGCCGGCCACTTTCTTCTCTTCTGCAATGATGTTTGCATACACGTTGTTTACGTTTTGAAGAAGAGATACGTCTTTGCAGAGACCTTTGGTGACGAACACGCCTGGTCCGGAAAGTAGGATGTGGTAAAATTCATCCTGTAATGCTGAGCGTTGTTCTGGGGAGAGCGAGGCGTAGTCGGGCAAATTATATATCGGCACATTCGCTTCGATCTTGCTTGCTAGTGGGTAGTGGCAGGGAACAGACTCCGTTGTAAGTTTCTTGAACTCGTCCAGTGATGGTGGTTGCTTGACGGAGAATAGCCGAGGTCCGATTGGCGGCTGGTGACCATTGGTGTGGCCGTTCGCGGAATGCATTTTAGATGTCAGAATGTATCAGAGATGTCATGTATGGCATCGCCCTCATTTCAATGCTATATAATCGCGTCGGCTACATAGGTGATGGGTAAGCTTGTGGGATGATGTACCAGATCGGCAATTCTGCCCGCTTGCGGTGGTTGTTCCTTCTTTGGGAAGCGGAGAAGGCGGCGGCCCCACTTACGATTACAAACCCCTTGCGCAATCCATCCTCTCCTCCAGTACCACCTGTCGTTCGACACCAGTTACAATGATCTTTCGCGATTTACTTTCCACATGGGAATAAGAACAGTGGGTAGAAACATGAGCTATCGCGACCTGGTTGCAGGCACTGCTCTCGTGCTTTTCTTCTCACTCCTCGACTTTACCACGGCACAGCGGCACCTTAGTATCAGTAATCAACACAGCCTCTGATCCTTCGCGGCGCGGCAAAGCCCACCCCCAGAGCTTAATGAGACCGCAACCATGGATTTCGACTTGAAGCACTGCGGAAGACCAAAGACTCGTGCACTATTTTCAAGCTCCGTCGCCAGTTCAAGTTTCCATTTGTCATGTGCACGGAGGCCAATTGCGCAGGTATGGCCGTACACAATTGCAACGGTAAATCTTTATAAAGAGTGTATTGGCTATGTTCAAGATTCCACGGACACCTGCAAGCCTTGGGTCATTATAGTAATGGCACATAACCCTGCCCTTGCGCCATACGGCAGACTCAATCGCGCAGAGCTTTGCAGATAGCTTGCTCAACACCATGAGCTTTTCTACTTCTCATTCTCTACTTCCTCGACCTCCCAGTCTCCATACACAACTCCAGGTCGTCCGTTTCGAACACCAGCGCGTCTTGGCAACCCTCCATCGGGTCCAGCGTCGCGAGGCCCGTCGGAATCCGAAGTATGATCCGGGGATTCAGCTCGCGGATGATTTCGAGGATCGGGTCCCGGCCCGCCCATACCTCCAGGGAAAAACATCGGGCCCCGCGGGAAAGGCATGCCGCCCGGTGGCATCGGCCCTCCTGCACCTCCGCCAGCCATGCGCATCTGCTCTGCCATCATCTGCTGGCGATATGCGGCCATGATCATCTGTTCCTGTTGCGCTTCCATCATTTGCTCGCGCTGAGCCGCCATCATCATCGCTCTCATGCGCTGCTGTTCCGCCATTTGCAGGCGTTGTCTTGGCGTCATGCCCTGCATTTGCGCTTCTTCCAACTGCGCTCTCATCTGCATTTCCAGTTGCATCTGTCGCATCATCATGACTATCCTGGGGTCCATGGTTGATGTCGGTGTTCAGGCTCCTGATGTGCTGAGAAGTAGTCTAGAGAACGAGCACGGTTTCCGGCAGTACCAAGGCTTTTCCGTGAGCTTTGGGAATTTCGGTCGTGTCAAGCCTGGTGTATAACGATTCGCAGAGGTATGTTAACAGGGTCTGTGCCTCTAGCCGGGAGAGATCGCTGTCGCAACACATCAATGTTCATGATCAGTGAATAGATGAAGTGAAGACTTCGTTATTGAATCGCACCCACCGACAACATGATCGGAAAGAGTTTGTTGGTGATACCTGAGCCATCACGTAGCGCACAGTTGCGGCGTGCATTCAACGCGATATGAGGGTTCAGCAATCGTCACGATCCGAACTTTGGATTTGTCAGAACTCTACTTCACGCTATCTAGCCAACTACCAGTACGCGCTCAGTTGATAAAGCAATGACATACATCAATTGCCGTCTGGCGAAAGCGGCGCCAAAGCAGCCTCCCTCTCCCTCTGATCCATCGCCGCCATCATGCGCTTTAGAAGGTCTGTCGTTCTGTTTGCAGACTCACGTACAACTATCAATTGCGTCAATATCATCTCCCGCCTGTCGGGACCATCTAGCTTGTTGTTGATTTGCTCCATAGTCGCCACGCCCTCCTCATACAGCTGCATCCAAGTCCAATGCTCTACCCACATATGCCTGTTCTCCACCGAGACCTTGGTCCTGGCTTCACTCAGAGCAGCCTTCATATCTTCGAGTAGCTTGGCGCTACGCTGACAAACTGAAGGAAAGTTTTCGGGAGTCAACCTGCCGTTGAGGAATTCCTCGGGGAAGGCGTCGATCTGCATGAGGAGGGCTTCGCAGGCCTTGAAGGGGTCAGGGACTTGGAGCTCAATTTCTTTTAATTCGTTTTGGTGTGCCATTTCGTCGTCGGTGAGTCTCAATGTAGCTGGATGCTTGGTTTGAAGTGAAACGCTCGAGAAAGAGGTGTTGGTTGCGAAGGCACAGGCGACCAAGAGAGTGAAGTTCAGCTAAAATATTGGTGTTTTGCCGTAAGGTGAATGTATAATTGCGCCTCGAAGAAATTACGACTTAGACAATGCTGACATTGTCATTCAACAGACGGTACAGTGATTTAGTCCCCATGGGTTGCTGCTGCCTGCTTACTTGCGGATAGATCTGTTGTACAATAACAGTGCCTCGGAGTGACTTCCTCACAGATCACCAAACCCACCCTCAACCGTACATAGGAACGAACCATCAACCATGTCCCTCAAATCAGCAGACGAGAGTAAGACACCTGTACGGATTCTAAAAAGCACTATGTTTGATGAGTGTAAGAAGATACATACAGGAGTCGAGCGCCTTCTCGAACGAACAAACATCGAGGGAATGACACAGCCACAGCTGAAGTCTGCATATGAAGATGTCGTCAAGATACTCGACCAGTTTACCAACGCGATCCAGATTTGCGACGTCCACATTCATAGATTGAAAACGACAATCCTAATGGATCTAACAGAGCCCCGTTCAATCCTTTTCCTACAAGAGAAGTGGAACAAAGCTCTCATCGACAGATATCTAAAGTCATTACGACAACTTCACAGCCTCGAGCGTAAGCTCAGATACGCCAAAGAGGGGAAGGAGCTATTTGCCCTACCGGATTACAATACTACTGCATATATTCCAGCCCATCCGGATCACGATATAGAATGCACCGGACGTACATTTGTGATCGCGCGCATACTGTGGCTGATGAAAAAGGCCGAGAGGAACCTGGATACATTCCCTGCCCGAGGTTATCCACGCTACATACGCCAGGGGACTTGGCAAGACGATCCAGCTGAGCAGTGTCTGATTCTACCACAAGACAAGAAATGGATGCTGGCCCCATGTGAACATGAGCTCCTATGTCTACCCTCATCTGAGGAATGGTCGGCCTTGTTTTTGCACATCGGCCATCTGACTATCCTCGAGTGGAAATCTCTGGGTGAACCTTCGGCTAATATTATGGATATCGGTAGGAGTATGGGGGATATGAAGCTCGTCCAAGGCTTCACGGAACGCGCCACGGACGAAGCAGTAGAGGCTGGTTTCGAAGAGTGTGAGATATGCGGACGCAGCTTCTCCGATCAGATTGGACGAGATGATGTGGAGCCAGCTGTAAAGACGATCTGTGGCCATTATATAGGCGAGCAATGCCTTCAGGCTTGGATCAACACGCTCGCTGTCAACCATAAAGAGATGGATGCATCGTGTCCGATGTGCAGGACTAAACTATGTATCGGAGCATTTCCACCCAAGATTCGAGACCGAGTCTTCGAGTTGGTAGAGTTTATGCGTAATGATCCGGCATTCGATAGAGAGGTCGATCGGTTTCTGTTGAGCGCGAAGGAGGGAGATGTGAGGCAGTGCTACGGCCCTGAGCTCGGTGTCATGCTTGCAAAGCTGTCTGTGAAGATTAGCGAGGGGGAGAAGATGCTGAATAGCATTCTCAACAGCATCGACAAGTTACGAGGAGAATGTAACAGGTGGGGGACGTTATCGTAGCCTACTAGTGCTATATGGATTTGTTCGATCGCGAGTACTCCATCGTCTGGACTGGTGCCATGATCGGAAGACGCGTGGGCTTATTGAGTGACGGTACCTATGATCGTGAGTATTTCGATGCTTAACGACAAAAATCGTCAGTGTAGAAAGTAGTGAGAGCGTACCTGCGTGAGAATCTGTTACTCTCAGAATTCCAGATGGAGCGGTCTGCAATCATGCATCGACTCGTGGGTCAGCGAGGAGAAACAGGGCGTGCCACCTACTCTAATTGTCCAACGCCACCGCACGACTATATTGATCTGTTTCCAGAAGTTGTGCGGCCGATCCTGTACGACAACGCAGCCTTGGCATCTAGCGGTATTGCAATTGACAAGGAGGCTGTCACCTGTCTACCAGGCATCCTTGCGAGCGGAGGAAATTTCAAGGTTCACGGCGGCTTGGACGTTCCGTTCCCGTTGACATGTGGTGTGTGCGAGTGTGTGAAGCTAGGCTTCCGCCTCACCACCAATCTCGTTCAGAACAGTCGGAAGTCCAGACCGTGGCCCGAACGCTACGATGACCAATATCGGCAGCCGACGGACCATTGCTATCGTGAAATCGGATTCGCATCGCGGGTAGTGGATCCCTACACAGCCCGGGTGGCATCCGCGGAACGAATAGGAGAATTCCAATATCGGCGGTTTCTTTTGGTGCATATTCGCCAAGGTGCCAGAGATTCAAAACGTGAAACGCATGATCACCCCAGATCTTGGCGACAGCGGTTTCCGCTGTGGTTGTGTTGGTAGTGTCGAGGCTTGGCACGGCGCTTCCACCGCTTAAATAGGTTTCAACGTGTGGTTGGGACTCCTGTTTTCATCTAAAGTGAGACTAGAACAAAAGAATCGTTCTATGCGACTGGGTACTATGGGCTTAGGATGGCTTATGACGCCTTGGGGGTGGGGTGGCGCCGTGTAGATTAGATGAAGAGAATGGGTGTTGATGAAATTTAGGGACCGAAAAATGGATATCCCTCCAATGGAGCGGAACGATGCGGTGAACCACGCTGGGAAACTGGTTTGTATAAGTATCGCAGTGGTTACCGTGTTGTAAAAATCATCGCAATCATCCAGCATTCGATACCAACCAGTACATTCGCTTCCAACTTTTTACATTCACTTCTTTTGAACATATTCATTCTTTACCATCAACATGAAGGCCTCAATCATCCTCTCTCTTCTTGCGCCCTTGACGGTCGATGCGCACTACATCTTCAACCGCCTCATGGTCAACAACCAGGCCATTGGTGGTGACTATGCTTACACCCGCAAGAACACCAACTCCTACATGCCCTCGTTCACCGCCGACATCGTCAACTCCCCCGACCTGAGGTGCAACAAGGGAGCCAAGGCTGGAGGTGTTCCCACCTACACCGTCAAGGCCGGTGACAAGATTGGCTTCAAGCTCGCATTCAACGAGAAGATCGAGCACCCCGGCCCGGGCTTCGTCTACATCTCCAAGGCCCCTAGCAGCGTCGCCAACTACGATGGCAGCGGTGACTGGACCAAGGTCATGGAGAGCGGCCTCATCAACCCCAGCCAGCCCGGTGTCGACACTGCCTGGGACAGCTGGCAAAAGGACCGCCTTGAGTGGACCATCCAGAAGAGCATCCCTGCTGGCGAGTACCTTGTCCGCGTTGAGCACATCGCCATCCACGAGGGCCACGTTGGCAAGGCTCAGTTCTACATGGAGTGCTTCCAGCTGAAGATTGAGTCTTCTGGTACTGGCAAGCTGTCCCCCACAGTCAAGATCCCCGGTCTTTACAAGGCCAACGACGCCGGTATTGCCTTCAACAAGTGGTAAGTTCATCCCAACCGTACGGAATTCTCGTGCCAGACATACTAACACAGTCCCAGGAACAACCCCAAGTCTTACCCCATGCCCGGCCCCAAGCTGTGGAACGGACAGTAAGCGACTCGTTTCGCTCACTGGTGTTCCATCAGGCAGTCAAGTTGAGGAGGAATCGGTCTTTTTTTACACATTGCACGCCCTAGTGGTGCTTACCTTCTACCTTTGCCCGCATTCATAGCGCTCGATCTCAGTAGCTTTGGACAAAATTACAATGCGTTTACCTCAGTTCGATGTTCCTTGATTTCTGTGATGATGGCGATGGGGTGTGAGGCTTGGCATTTGGTCGACAGATTGTGGATCGTGATCAGCCAGCCTTGTATACTCAGCTGGTGACCCGAGCGCAGGCAAGGCGACAAGTCGCGCGCGCCTACTGCCGTTAGACCGCTGTTAGTAGGAGGGCTAGAGGCCTGTTCACATTAGCGTACAACAACAAGACAGCTGTAGAGTGTGCCCGATGGTGGGAACATCTGTTCGAGGGCGCCAGCGCAGTAGTTCTATAGCGGCCCAATGCATAACGAAGATGCAGCATCGCCAATAATGCGCAACTAGATGCGCAACAAAGGCGGTTATGCAGGGCGAGTGCGCAAGATAAAGCGAATGTCGCGGTGTAGAGTTGAAGATTGTGTGACGTGGTAGGCGAAGTGGGCCGCCTGCTGGCCAGTGCGGGTCGCGGTTGCCCGGGGAGCGGTCGCTGAATCGTGTTTACCCAACCAAGACGGGACGTCAGGTTGCGATAGGCCCTGCTTAGCTTTACCATACCACATCCCCGCTATCAATCGGGGCGTGACCACAGAGAACTGCTCTCTCCCATTGCTACCATCGACATCTGTCTTTCGCTGGAGCATTTTGCGCGTCCCACACCTAATCGACGCCGCCTTTCACTATTCTAATCGACGCATGTCATCCACGCGCCGTGCATACCCCGAACAAGTTGCCGGTCAACACCAAGTACTGTGTAATACAACATCCACATAATACCCAACATGGCAGTCGGCCAGGCGCTTCCAGTGCGCTTTCCTTGCTGGTGCAAAGCTGTCTATTCATGGGGAGGCGAGGTGAGTTCAGACGGAAGCTGAGTTACTGTTGCAACTTATCTGACAACTATACTAGACCAAACGCGATCTCGGATTCATAGAAGGCGATCTGATTGAAGTCCTCAATGCCGGCGATGGAGCTTGGTGGATGGGCCGGTTGAAGCGCGACAGGCGTATGGTCGGCCTGTTTCCATCCAACTTTGTCGAGCTGCTCAGCGAAGACTACCAGCCATGGGCGCGCAACGGCAGCGGCGGAAGCATGTCGAGGCAGAACAGTGCCCAGGAACAGCCGAAGCCCGCGCCACAGAAGCAGAAGAGCATGTTCAGGAAGCCCTTCACGGCCTATGCGGCTGCAGGCGCCCCGAATCCAGCTGCAGCGGCGCGAGAGAGGCTCAAGGCCGGCGGCATCAACTCACCAAACGGCAGTGTCAAGACCAAGTCCCCCTACTCGTCGATGAAGAGGTCGTCTATCGAGAGCCGAGACAGCCCGTCCCCCGCCACGTCGACAAGAAAACAGTCGAACCTGCGCGCAGTGTCACCGCGACCCGCCTCCAAGAGGACGCCTGTAGCACGAGCTGTATCGCCAGCACCGCCCTCACGACACGGCTCGCACGCACGCGCACCCTCTCCCGCACCGCCCGCCGAATACCGCTACCAACCTCGCGCCGTCTCACCAGCACCTCCCATCCGACGCGGCTCGTACATCCCGCCACAGGCTGCCGCACCTCCAGCCCAATATCAATACCAGCCTCGTGGAGTGTCACCTGCACCTCCCATACAACACCGAAACTACGCCAGAGCGGCATCTCCAGCTCCCCCACAACAGATACAAGACCTATACCGAACAGCTTCGCCAGCACCCCCGAGACAACATCAAGACTATTATCGGGCAGCGTCGCCAATTCCTCCACGACAAAGTCAGGATTTATACCGCGCAGCCTCACCAGCACCCCCAGTTCACTACCAGCAGCACTCGAGAGCTGTTTCTCCTGCGCCCTCGTTCCAGTACCGAGCATACGACCGTGGACCTTCGCCAGCCCCATCGTTTGGCGAGCGTTCGCGCGCTGCCTCACCAGCCCCCTCGATCCAATACCGCGCATACGACCGAGGCCCATCGCCATCTCCTTACCAACACCAACTCGATTACGACGATCACAGCCGCGGTCCATCGCCTGCGCCTTACGATGACGGATTCGAAGCAGACGTTGGCTCGCCGCCACCTCCACCTCCACCACCGCATCGTGTTGCTTATGACCCCAGCAGAGCTCCATCTCCCGCGCCTCCTTCCCACAACGGTTTCATCACACCCGAACCGCCCTCGCCTGACCCAAGAACACGTGCAGGCCACTTCACACCTTCCCCGCTTACGGCAGCAATGGATGATGTCATGACGTCTCTGCAGGATATGACAACGTCGAACAGTAACGAATCGCCAGAAGACTCTCCAACTCCAGCGAACCCGTGGTCTCCAGACGCATACGATCAAGTGTACCAAGAGTCAGCGAAGAAGGTCAGGGCACAGTCCGCGATGGACCAGGGTGATGAGGATGAAGAGGAAGGCCTTCCAGACGTCAACAACTACATGAAGCGCATGGAAAGTCGTCTGAGGCGAATGAAGCAGCAGGAACAAGCCAGGAACGGTGAACTTTTCATTGGCGAGGATGAAGGACCAACTGTACCTCTGAAAAGCTCCCATCAGAGGCCTGGATCCTCGAGGGCAGACACTGACCCAGAAATTCAACGGAAGGGCTCGAAACTGCTTAACCACCGCAAATCTGCTTACAACATGGGACGCAATGCCCTTGGACGAACATTTACGAGCAAAACGAACTCTACGACTACGACCCATACCAGCAGCAGCACCGATCGCAGCTTGATGTCTGGACACTCTGCGACGAACATGAGTGCTACAAGCGCCGGAAGCTACTACCGCAAGAAGTTCGGCAAAGACCGACCGAAGAGCGTAATGAACACGAAGGACACAGCTGGGAAGGGATACGGCTTCGACGATGGACGACCAGAGACGCCCTTTACTGGTGTCACGTATCACTCCAGCCACGCTTCACAGCCACGACCTGGTTCCAGTGATAACCAACAAGCTGAGGTTAGCACACCAGCAACAGACGACCCGGATCCGCTTGGTGGACTGAGGCAGCCTCTGAAGACGAAGCGCAGCGGCTTCTTCCGCAAGATGATAGACACGGCGAAGACTCAGGCGGCAAATGCTCGTAGCACCATCGATACGATAAGCAGGCCAGGATCCCGAGCTGCTAGCCGAGCAGCGGGTCGTGCAACCAGTCGCGCCGCAAGCCGGATGGACAGCAACGAGTCAACAAGTATTGAAGGAGGCAAAGCGACCCACACGGCAAACCCCTCGAGAGATACGGGGCTGGGGACGGTCGATTGGGTACAAGTCCGCCGTGACGTCAACCGATCCAACTCTCTCAGCAAGAACGAGCGTGCGGAGCGAGCCGAAAGATGCCAAATGATGGATATCCCCGTCTTGAACCCGATTGAGATCTTGTACGAGTCAGCGGAAGGCGACGAGGGTCTTGACGGCCTTCCCATCACCGAGCCTACCGATTTTGCAGCTACCAGTCTTGGCCACGTTGACAAAAGCACGCGATTCATCAACAGCGTTCCACTTGGAACTAACCCAGCAACCTTGGCTCAGGCATACGTTTGCCGACCTTACCGGAGCGACATGCAACGATTACGGGCCATCTTTACCTGGGTCAGCGAGCGTATCGCGTGGGAGGACGACTTCGAAGGCGAGATGGACCCGAAGCATGTGATTCAGGGCAAGCGTGGATGCTCTCAAGAGATCGCCATGGTTGTGGCAGAGATGTGCGCTTCTGTTGGAATGCATGCTGAAGTTGTTCGTGGCTATTTGAAGACGCCTGGCGAACCTCTGGATCTGGAAAGCGTTGCCCGACCGAATCACTTCTGGAACGCTGTCATCGTTGAGGGCGAGTGGCGTATCATGGACTGCTCGCTTGCTGGGCCTACAAATCCAAAGCGAGTCCACTACTCAACGGCGGGATCATCCGTGGCGGAGACGTGGTACTTCCTCGCTCGTCCCATGGAGATTTGCTATTCTCATGTTCCGCTCCTGCCCGAACAGCAACACATTTGCCCTCCACAGCCTCACGAGGTGCTGATGGCTCTGCCTTGCGCAACACCGGCTTATTTCCGCCACGGTCTCAATATGGTCAACTTTGACACTAGCCTTCTCAATTTGGACAACCTCGAGATGGGTCACGTGTATATTGACGTGCCGGAAGACGTAGAATGCGTTGCAGAAGTCGAGGCAAGATCTTACTCACAAGACATGGACGGCGACTTTTTCGAAAGCGGTGAAATTGTCAAAAAGCCGGCATTGGCGCAAGCTGAATGGTACGGCGGCCAGAAGAGATATACCGTCAAAGCTCTTCTACCGGGTGATGGAGGTCAGGGTGTCCTGAAAATCTATGCAGGACCTCGGGGGCTCATGGTAAGTTTATTCTATGAAACTGTCAATACATGCATGCTAACGTTTCTCAGCACTCAAACAAGATGAACCCTCATAACCTGGCGATCGGCCTCCCAATGACGCATACCGGCACCAACCCTCCGTACTCATTTTTGACACTCCACCCTACGCCCCATGCTCAACGAAACGATCTATACGTCGCTCAGCCACAGTGCGCCAATTTGGCTCTAAACAATACTTTCGTCTTTTGCGTGCGCCAGCATCCATCATCCCTCACAAAGTCGCCCGAACCCAGTCCTGCGATGCACGGCCGAGCGTCGCCAAATCCCTTTGCCCGCCCTGCTTCTGCTATGAGCATGCAGAGCATCTCAGCCACTGGTTCCAACTACACAAACCCATCGCAAAGCTCCTCCGGATCAGCAGACAGCAGGAGTAACAAGCCCGCTAAGCTAGCCGTACAAACACCCTCTGGCAAGATTATCCGCCTGACGAGAAAGACGGAGCACATGAGCAGTACCAACGATGCCGACGGTACGGCTTGGGAGACGATCATC